ATTAATTTTCAAAAAGGGCTTTTTGTATCCATCAGTAAATAGAATTTATGTAATAGATGCAAATTGATTAACACATTATTATTTTTGATCACAATAATATCTATTTTTGATGAACTACTTATGGCAGTGTTTTTTTATATTGGTGTTTGAGATGCAAGTTCTGTTTTATTAACTATGCAGAATATTGCTTTGGGAGATTTCATCTAACACAATTTGACATGCATGGATGTTACTATTAAAATGTGTAGTGTTTCTGAACCTCGCATAACAGTATGTATGATCGATTTCCCTTTAATCATTTAATCTTTTAATGGAAAGTAATGGTAAGTTAACTGGTCATTAGAACACTGGAAAATTAGAAATTTAGAGTTCTGTGACAAGTTTTATGACTTGATTATCTCAACACTGTTGGATATATTAATAAATACATACTCTTTAATACTATAAATAGACGCATAAATCTTTAACACTATATTTTTTGTATAGATTCATTTGTTTGCTCGCCGTAGATGCATTTTCTTCTTTCATCTATGAAACAATAAAGCTGGAATAAAAAATGATCTTACTCCAATATGGGACCTATTATAATGATCTATTGTAAGATATTATTAAGATACATATTATAGATGAAGATGAGAAAAAAAAACACATGTTTTCATTTCATTTTCTATTCAAAAAATTAATCAATAATAATCCAAAAATAGGAACGTGCCACTCATATGACAAACCGTTAGAGAATTTTTGAAAGGTATTAATCTATTATTATATCTCAAAATTCTATGACTCGTCTTGTTAACATTAATGTTTAAGTGATTATAAGGATTAAGAGATAAGAATTTGCAGGCTCAAAGAATGAGTGTAAAACTCGAAAAAGCGACCCTCCTTTCGATTGAAAGCGGTGCATAGGCCAAAATGGTCGTTTAACGCGAAACACTTAATTGTTAAAAAAAAGAAAAAAAAAGAAGGAGAGAGAAATAGGAAAGTAAAAGGTAGTTTGTTTCGGAGAACAGTTGTTCCGACCGACGCGATGTTTCAAAAGGGGGAAACTTTTTCTGCGCGCGTTAGATGCTCTTCCGCTTGCATCTGAGCCGGCGCCTAACAATTTTGCTAGGACTAATACGAGTTTCGTGGAAGCAACGTGCTGTTTCTGCGTTTCCAATGCGCTCAGACCCTCCCGACACGATTGCAAAGCTCTTTCACAGTGTGATCGAATGATCCCGCCCTGTATCTAGAGGCGAATTACGGTAATGAAAGGTTCTATATAAACTACCCTGGCTCGATGCATCGCATCGCCGTTCCTATTGTTTCTCATGGAAACACTGTGCGTTTAGATTAGGTATTACATTATGCATAGCAGTGGACCTGAACTTCACAATTAATTACGATTCGTGAAAATATGACTCCGATATTTAGTATTTGAATTATCGTGAAGAATATACGAGTGGGTCAATTAATACAATTAATTACAATAATACAACAAATAATTACGATTCTTCGACTTCACGAAAGGAAATAATTTAAAAAAATATATATATATATATAACTCCAATAGTTAGTATTTGAATTATTCGACTTTAGTAGAAAGAAATTAAAAAAAAATATATAATTTGTGATATTTAGTACTTAAAACTGAAGAATTTATAACTCCGTGGTATTTAAAATCGAAGAAAGCAGCTCTTCTTTTCACACATTTTGTATATTTCATTCAAAGAAAAGAGATGATCTTTCATTCTTAGATGAAAAAGAAGTAAAAAAGGAATTAACTTCGAGTAACACGAATATTAGTTGATTATAGCAAGTTTGATGCTGGTTTACTACAATTATTTAAAAGCTACCTCGTGCAGCAATCTTTTCGATTTAGAAGAGCAACACGTGATATTTGGCGTACAAAAGCGTGATTTGGTTTGAAATGGAAAAGGAAACGAAATGACGATTTAACCTTCATAGGATGATAGAGCATGCTTTCAACGGTTGAAAACGAAATTGATCGGTGACGAGAATGAACGTTTATGCTTGCGTCTCGGAATAAGTATGGCTTGTCTCTGAAGCGTAGCCATCATCAGACAGTTAGAAAACGTCTGTTGATCGATCTGTCGGACTGTTAACGCTAAACCCTAAATTCCAGCGTAGCCTTCTAGCCGAAAGCTAATATAATAGGTGCGCTCGAGCTTAAATATAGAGGCGTGTTCGTGGTTATAATCGTTGCCCCCGGGCAGCTACGCGTTTTATCGTTTATATGAATCTCGCGCGCGGACCTATCCACGCGTGTGCAGAAATGCACGACCGCGAATTCTCAATGGGTGATAGACAGATAGTGCCGAAAACTCGAATTTCCCAGCAGCAAGGACAGTTCTATTTCCAACGATTTGTGAAATTTGAATTTCACGAATCATTGATTTAACTCGTGAGAAAGGAAATTTTATTTATAGAAAATCCTCCATCTCTCGAGTTTGGGAAAAAGCTCGATTTGCCAACATTATAACTGCTGAAAATTAAATTTTTCAATGGCAAGAAAAATTCTAATTCCAATTTTAAACTGTGTAAAATTTGATTCATTGATTTCATTCGTTAAAAAGAAAATTGTATTTGCAAGAAGTCCTTCATATCCCAGTTCTTCATTTCAGAGGAAACTTAATTTCGTTTCAATTTACAAACATTAAGCTAATCCTGTAAAATGAAAAGTATGTTTTTTTTTATTTTCAAGTGGAATATATTAGGAAAATTTATTATCTAGAAGATATTGGATTAAATAATATAAATTGATTAAATAATAAAGTTATTATCAATGTTCTTTCAACATCCTGAAAAATAAATAGTATTTTTCTTTTTTTTTTTACCTTTGCATTTATTATTCTATTTTATTCTTAAGTAAATACTGTTATTATTAAAAATATATAAATACATTAATTTTGGACTGAAAAATTTGATACTTATAAAAAATATTATAAATGCTCTTCAATTGACACTTACAATTTTCTCTACGTGGATTGACACTTACAATTTTCTCTACGTGGATGACGTTAAACTTACCAATGATGATTATTTTTTTATACTATTGGTAATTATTTATAAAGAGAAATACTGAAGAAAGAATGTACTGCATACTACAATATTCCTATTGGCACATAAAATACTTTTTTTCGATAAAAAAAAAAAGGAAACAATATTTTCCAAATTTTCCTAGAAAGAAATTTTCAACTCTCAAGTACAATCCTGGGTTATTTAATTAAAACTTACGATTCTAAACATTTATTTATATTATACTTCTAGTCACACTTAACTTTACTTTGCCTTTAAAAATTGTTCAGTTTTTCACTGATGAATTAACTTACCATCACCAGTTAAATAATCAAGTCTATATATTCAATTGTACAAATCACATTTTCTTTAGTTCGTTAAATTTAAAAATCTTATTTTACATAAACAGTTGTAAATCGTTTGGCTATTACAAAAGATAGAAATACAAGAAATCTAAGACTTTATGAAAGGTGTCGATCGTTGAGAATTGTGAGCTGCGATACTAAACTTAATGACCTGAAAGAGAGTCTCGTTCGTCTGTCGTTAATTGAACAAGGTTAATCGAAATCGCGTACAGAATCGAAACGAAAAGGCATCATCGGTGATTTACGAATAATAGACGCGTCCGACAAATGTTGAAGGTTCGAACGTGAAAGCGACCGATCGCGTGCGAACGGTCTTCCAAAATCATTTTACACGCTTTCTAAATGCCGTTCCTAGAGGATCGACGTGTCCCGGTCGTACATATATACATATACATACGAACCTGTTCGTAGTCAAGGCTGGCCGTCAGCGTGAACACGCCGGTGCTAGGATTCAGAGAAAAGACGTCATTGGCCCAATCGGAAATCAGGGTATAGCTCAGTTGACTGTTAGGTCCGTCGGCGTCTGCGTCCGTGGCGACGACCTGACCTATTCGACTTCCTCTTGGCATGTTCTCCGGAACGTCGAACGAGTACGCGGTGCTCTGGAACGTCGGTGCATTGTCGTTCGTGTCGGTCACCTGTAACATCGGACGACCGTTTGACTTTATCGATTTGTTCCATCGGAATTCTTGGATCTTCGACCTGCTCGGCGAGTTATTAACTTCTCGAGCGTTCGGGATTATTAGGAATTTAATGTTGAACGAGCAGGAACGTGTAACAAATCGAGAATTCATTCTCATACATTCGTACCTTTTTGATGGATTTGTTATTAACTTCTCCAGACCTTGGAATTATTAGAAATCTACAAGTGTAATATTGAATCGAGGAAACGTGTGACAAATCGGGAATTCATTTCCATCCCTTTGATGGATTATTTATTATTAACTCTTCGAACGTTTGAAGTTATATAATTATATTATAGTAAGTAGATTAATAATTGTTGCTGAGGTGTTCCAATAACTTTGTCGAATACTTTAAATATCTCTGTCGTGTTTGGCGATAGGAAACGATTTTATCAACGAAAGTTATTCAGCGTATAAGGGAAAAATCTCTTATTCGCGATTTTTTTAACGTAGCGATTCAGAGTCACACATAAGAAATTAATTGCATCGGTATAAATGCGTCTGATGCACGCGCGTTTTATAAAACATTCCGCTTTCACAAAAGGAATATCTATATGAAAGATAGTTTTATACGATACGATAAATAATTTATCTGAACAGCGGATCGCTCGTAGACAAGCCTGAAAAACCAAGAGAAAATACAGCCAGACCTGTTGAACGTGACGTACAGACGCGCTAAGCTGAAACGATCGACTTTTTTTTTTTTTAAACTTTTTAAGAGTCGTCTTCGATATTTTTGGATAGGAGAGATAACACGCGCGGAGAGAGATGAAGGAAGAATAATCGATGTTATTCTTGAATCGTATTCGATTCATCCTGTTGGCAGAGCTGCCGGCTCGATCGAGGGGAGAAGAAAGGTAAGATGGGTCAGGGTAAACAATCCAGAATCGGAGCTAACGCTTCCTGTTCCCTTTCGATTGTACTCGACGTCCGTCCCTGAATAAACATATTTCAATCAAAGCCCGAGACAACTGGCCGTGGTTCGCGATGCTGGGCTTCACCTTTCGAACCGCGTCTCGGTCTACGCTTCGAAGAAAGTTTCCTGTTGTTTTTACGGTGGCGATGAATCTCGAAACGGTCTCCGAGAGAAGGAATTTAAAGAATGTTTTTCCACCGGGAGAGGGGGAGAGGATTCTATGGAGGCTCGATTCGATTGATAGCGTGGCGTGGCGCGTTCAAACAGGAAACAGGCTTCGGCTCGATGCATCGAGATCCGAGTAGAATCGAATATAAACGCGGAGTTTATCACACGGTGGTAACGTGGAAACTATCCGTGCGCAACTTGTAACGACTTTAACGACAGATTCTACGGAACAGGAAACCTCCCGAGGTTATTCGTCTGTTCGTGTGCAATGAACAGACCGCTGATTTTTACGCACTCGCAAGAAATTCTAAAGCGTACGAAGTTGCACACGTTGTGAAAGAATGTGAGATATCATATTATAAATACGATACATTTCTCACAGTTACATAGTGAATTATGTTAAAGTATAGTATACTTTTCTAACGAGTGATGATTGTGATGTTGCCCCGGAAAATGAATTACGACAGAAGTCGAAAAATGTGATCTTTTTTTCACATAGAACGCATCCACCATTCGTATAAAACGAGTCCCCATGTATATACAAAATATTCAGAATTTTTTATCTGTTCAATCACGCCCTCAAGAATAAAAATAACTTGCGTAAAAGTGCACAATGTTTGGCCAACAAAAGATGTGAATTTTGTTCAAATGTTTCCGATCAAGCTGGTCACTGCGGTGGCGTCGTTCGACTTGTCGGCCCCGCGAGACGTGCTTCGATCGAAGGGGGAACGTCGAAGGACGGCTCGAAATTTTTCACGTGAATAGTCCCTCGATAGCGGCAGCCGCTCCTCCTCGTCCTTCTCTGGCGAATCTATCCGAATAGAATCGCCACGGCAGGACGACGATCGTCTCGACGTCGGTCGGAAGGCTCTCGCCGAGGGCTGCGTGGTGCGAGCGAGGAACGGTGAATAGGTTTCCAGCGTCGAGAGGGATCGACACGCGGTGGCGGTATAAAAGAATCAGGCGGAGGTGGGCACGGTTTGATTAAGGAGGGTTCGGAGACGTTTGCAAAAAGTGACGGTTGCCCTGCAGACGCGCGCTGTGGATGA